CTTATTTAATAAGCCGCAAGGCAAGGGAGGGGCCGCAAAGCAGACTACCAAGAGGCAGAGGTAAGGGCTGTAGTGAAAGGTGGAAGGTGAGGAGGTATGGGCATATGTGGAATTTTCCTTTTTTGGTAACTGTGTCCTACTGTAAGTAACCCATTGGTCAGTTAGGGCATACAGATATTTGGAGGTGGGTCACCTAATGGGTCTGTTTGTATTCAGCCAGTAGGTTACTGTGGGGCCAGCTACCTTACTCAGCTTTCCATTGTTCATGTTGATTGCCTATAAGTGGCCTTTACACTCACTTTTATTATTGTTGTCATGACCACTGTCATCATTGTCATCATCATCATTTAGTAAAGATAATATTTATTTCTAGTCAGTCTTCTTAGTGGTCAAAGGAAGAAAGATTTCTGCAGTTAAAATAACAGATATTGTTTGGGAAACTATAACAAATTGATGAAGTGTGAAAATATTTTATGAAGTTTGTCTAAACTTTTCATTTATGTCTTCAGATAAGTGTATCTGTTGCTAAAGGTCACTTATTCTGTGAAGCCAATACTAATTTCTCTCTTTGGACTCTCCAGTGGTGGTAAAGGTTTTTGCAAATATCTGAGATACTTGGCTTTGCACATAAATGTTTACATTTACATTTATAATACCCATATCTACATTTGTATTCCAGGTCTTTATCTATCTCTATCCCTATTTCTCTCTCTCTCCCTCTCTCTCTCTTTTAAATTGAGAGAGACAGAAAGTGTGAATGGGGGTGAGGAGAAGAGGAAGAGAGAGACTGACTCTCAACCAAGCTTCACGCTCAGCACAGAGCCTGACACAGGGCTCAATCCCATAACCCTGGGATTATGACCTGAGCCAAAATCAAGAGTTGGATGCTCAATGAACTGAGCTGCCCAGGTACCCCTCAATCCCTATCTCAAAAATAGCATGATCAAGGTGTCTGGGTGGCTCATTTAATTAGGAGACTGACTCTTGATTTGGGCTCAGGTCATGATCTCATGGTTTGTTAGACTGAGCCCCATGTCTAGCTCTGTGATGACTGTGCTATTGGAGGACTTTTTTAAGGGTTAGGTAATTATTTAAATCTTTTCTTTCTTTTTTTTTAAATATTGAGTTTTGGTATCAGTGTACAAGAGAACAAATAAATTCTTACTTTAAAGAACTATCCTTTACATGTCAATGTAGATTATTATTTATGTGGGTTCACTTTTTAACATTTCAATATTAAAATTCTTTTCCTTTCATTCACTTAGCTAATTTAAACAAAACTGACTGTAATAAAAGGCTAATCATGTGTAAATATATTGTTTAGAATCAACATGTGTTTGAATTGTATGGCTCAAAATCACAGGCAGTTAACTCATAGAGTCACTTGTAATTAATTGTAAAATCACATCAAAAAATACATTAAAAATAATTCCTAAGAAGTTATTGTGGTTTTACGAATAAAAGTTTGACTTCATTAAAAAAGAATTGAATTCTAGAAAAAGTGCTTTGACATGCTAAACACATTATATAATCTTAAAGAACCAATTTTAAATTCTTCCTTTCTGAAGCTGGATAAAACACAGTGCTTTAAAGTGCTTTGGAAGAACTTACACAGAGATTACCCCTCTCCAGCCAATCATTCAACATGCAATTTTATGTGGAACTGGTTGTACCCCACTTTTGCCTCCTCTATCACCAGGTTTAATATTGACTAAAGGGATAACTGCAAGCCACAGACTAGAAATTAAATTCTAGGTCCTAGGATTCAAGTTGGGAAGTGAAATTTCAAATTACAGAAACGTAAATAGTTCTGGAGAGTTTTATAAGTATATAATTGAACGCAGCTTTTTGTATTTTATAAAACCATAGGAAGTAAAGAAGGGAAAAGATAAGCTGCTAAAGAAAAGAAATGATCTTCTATAGATACGGATTCTGTGCCAAATACTAAAGTACAACACATGAAAATTAAAGAAGGGGAGTTTAAGAGATTTTCTCTATGGGCACACTAATTAAGCGGTAAATTTGTCAAATAAGACAAAATTATAGTATTTGAAAATAAAAACAGTAAATTCCTCATTAGAGAATATAATACACAAATAACCTAAATCAAAGAAGAGAGCCCTGATAGACAACTTAAAAGACAGGATAGCATAGTCTGGAGAAAGTTAAATCTAGAGTTTTCACTGGTTCATCTAAGTTTTTTTTTTTTTTTTTTTTTAAGTTAAACTACAGTTGCACAATGAATAGCTTTTGGAGAAAAATTATAGATTTTAGGGAGCCTGGGTGGCTTAGTCATTTGAGGGTCCGACTTCGGCTCAAGTCATGATCTCACAGTCTGTGGGTTCCAGCCCTGCATTGGGCTCTGTGCTGACAGATCAGAGCCTGAAGCATGCTTCTGATTCTGTGTCTCCCTCTCCTCTGCCCCTTCCCTGCTCATTCTCTCTCTCTCAAAAATAAATAAATGTTAAAAAATTATAGATTTTAGTGATGACATAGATTTAAATGAACTTATTTTTCTGAACATAACAATTGTGGCAAAGTTGATAGTTCTTTATCACAGAATATTTGTTGACTCTAACCAGAGAAAACGTGCTTAGTGCTTATGGCCTTTAGTATTCTTTTAAAGATTATAACTGTAATCTTTAGAGATCGGTGATTATGAAGTAGAAACTTAATTACTTAAAAAATTTTAATGTTTATTTTTTTAAAGAGAGAGAGACAGAGCATGAGTGAGTGAGGGCAGAGAGAGAGGGAGACACAGAATTCGAAGCAGGTTTTAGGCTCTGAGCTGTCTGCAGAGAGCCCAAAGCAGGACCTCAAACTCATGAACTGCAAGATCATGACCTGAGCCAAAGTTGACGCTTAACCAACTGATCCACCCAGGCACCCCAGTGAAGTAGAAACTTAAAATAAAATCTAAAATATACCTAGATATTTTACTTCTTCAAAAAAGAAGATCCAAATACAATCCTATGCATACTTATTTATTAATAAGCCGGTTAATGACTTTATACATTTTAACATCTGTATTTGTCAAAATAGGCTAGACAATGATTCAGTAACAAATAAACCTCAAACTTTCAGTGGCCTGATACACCATTTTATATCAGTTATGAAACGGCCAGTATGAATTGTCCAGGGCAACTTTCTTTCAGTGATTCAGGAAACTGCACAGAGAAGCAGGTGGAGTAGCTTGATATTTAGTTAAGTCCTGAATATTTCTACCATACAATTAGGTTCTGAAAGCCACTTTGAGGAAGAGAAAATTTATTGTTGCTAATCTTGAAAGCTTGAATATATATACACTAATTTATGTATCTTGTCAATGAGGTTATTGAATGCTTACTATGTGTTAGCTGATGTAAAAATGTTGGGGCTCCTGAGTGAATGATCAAGAAAGAATTCTTGAGACATCTTTGGTGCAAAAAAATGTGGTTTTCTTAAAGCACAGGGGTTGTGAAGAATGGCTGATTATACACTTTCAAACTGGGAGGGGTTAGGGATAATGTAAGTCCCTAAGGAATTTGAAAGCAAGGACCTGGAGGGGCTAGCTGTTGTTAGGATAAGGATATTTACTACCATCCAGTAAAACCTTAATCATGAGACCCTTCAAATATATATCAGTGGGCCATATACTTGGAGGATAATTGCTAACACATATCTTGGGAAACTAGAGATAAAGGAAGTTTCCAAAGGAATTTTTTTTATGTGAAAGGAGACTTACAGGATCTTAGAGGTCGGGCTAATGTTAAGCTAAGGTTGCCTTTTGCCCTTAGTAAAGTATTAACATCAAGACAGCTAAGCTTCTTGGGGAAGGTCATCCTGCCTGTCTCAAGGACAGTCAGTGAGCTGTAAGTTGTAAGGAAATTTAATTTTATTCTTTTTCCTTTGTTCTTCACATCATTAGCCATTGGGCTGGCACATAAAATGTTAAGCAAAACAGACTTTTTATGTTCTAAAGAATCTTACAGTATGAGGTATGTTTGGTGGGGAAAAAGGGTGAGAGAATATTGAGCAAAGAATCACCTAAAAATATAACTTCAAATTATAATAAATGTTGTTTAATAATGATGGTGATCTCTATAAACATACAGAAGGGTTTCTATTCAAGCCAGTGGAAAAGATTAGGAAAATATAGATATATCTAAAATATTAAGAATGAATATGAAATGTCTGTTACCCTGAAGGAACAGAATGTACTAATGTCCTGAGGGAAATTTGAATAAGGCTCCTTTAAGTAACTGAAGCAAAAATCAGATCATTAAGTGCCATGTTAAAGATGGTACATATTAAAGAGCAGTAGCCAACACTTTAATTGTATGTGCATGTGTGTGTGTTTAAGATTGTCCTGGCTCCCATGTAGTGAATTGTATTCAAAGTCAGGAGGCAAGTGCAAGCAAGAGATGATGATAGATTTGACTAGGGTGATGACTATGGGAAATGGAACTGTGGTGTCTGCTGAGAAGAGAAAGGAAAAACAGAAAGGTCACAATTGTAAATATTACATTTGTCATAATATAGTTGAGTAAAACAACCAGTAATTAGAGAATGTATGAAAATACTGAGACATGTGCATCTACCTGGGGGAGGGGTATGTAATCTGAAACTGTTTCCACCCATTCTTGACAACAGGACAATTCAAGTTTTAAGTAGTTCTCTTGACTTAGTTTATTTTACTATCTGTGACCCACTAACTTGGGTATCTTTGTGGATTCACTTGGTAATTTCTCTTACCTATTAAATGATTAATGATTAAAGTTTACTCCTGCCCTCCGCTGTGTGCTGGTGTGATAGACTGATTATAAAAATGGCCCCAATTTTTCACTCACCCACCAATCTACCCTAACAAATCTACACTCTTTGCATTGTGAATTTTTAGTTCTTTATTTCAACTGATGTATTCTTTTTTTTTTTCCCCCTGGAATCTAGACTGGCCTTGTAACTTGTTTTACTTAATAGACTATTAAGAAAGGATGCTGTGTGCCAGTTCTGAGACTCACCATTAAGAGGTCTTGCATGACTTATTCCACTTTTTCTCTGGCTCTCCTGCTTTCATCCTGAGGCCAAGCCTGCTTATCTTTCCTAAGGAGATGTGTCAAGTAGAATCAAGTTAGTTCAGTTTTTGTAGCTGAAAGTCCACATGTGACTCCACCCAAGATCAGCGGAACTAAATAGTTAGACAACAGATCACAGATGCATGGATGGCCTCTCCTGAACCCAACTCAATCAGCAGAGGTGCTCACCTGCTAAGATACAGACATGTGAGTAAAAATAATAGTCTATTGCCATGGAAGTCTTTTGAGTATTTATTTTACAGTACTATGGTGACCCATAGATAATTGAGATAGTAATTATTCCCAGCAATATTAGAGATTTATGAGCATGTTATGCCTTTAATAGCAAGGTCTATATATTATGCTGCCATTTTTACTCCTCAAAACATCTTAGGATGTCAGCTATAGAACAGATAGTCTAAAATATTAGTGGCTAATTATTTGATTTAACAATAGAAACATCTCAAACTTTTCCAAAATTTCAAGAATTAAAATTATTTACTCAATATTCTGATGTTTTCTGTTTCATAGTGCCTAGAATGGGCTTCTAAAATGTTTAATGAAAGAATAAATTATGAGTGAATAGACTTACACAAAGTGACTGCATTATAGTATAATTGTGTACATTAATATATCCTGTGTATAGTATAATTGCATACATCACTGTATCTTTCACTTTCCCTGTTTGTAATTGATACTTGGAAATTTCTTTGAAATAAATAAATGAAACAATAAACATTGATATGTTCTGTGGACTGAATTATGTCCCCAAATTCATATTTTGAAGCCCTAATCCCCAATATAACTGTATTTGGAGATCAAGCTTTTAGGAAATGATGAAGATTAAATGAAGTCATAAGGGTGGGATCCTAATCTAAAAGGATAGGTGGCTTATAAGAAGAGGAAGAAAGATCTCTTTCTCCATTTTCCCACACTGAGGAAAGGACATGTGTAGAAACAGCAGGAAGGTGGTTTTCTAAAGCTAGAGAGGCTTCACCAGAAATCAAACGTGTTGAACCTTGTTCTTAGACTTCCTAGCCTTTGGAACTAAGATAAAATAAAATTCTACTGTGTAAACCAACCACTCTATGGTATTTTATTATGGCTGTCCAAGTAGACTAACGCCATATGAAAGAACAAATGAAAACAATCATTTGACTGTCAAATCTACATGCATGAAATACAGTGTTGAAAGCTAAAGAACACTAATAATAATCTTATGAATGGGAGTAAAATGTGTTAAGAGAAAATAAACTAGATTAGTTTTTAGCTGACTGTGAATAGGACAGACATATGTAACTTTACTTACTTGGTTCTGTAAGGCACTATCCTGTACATTGCCTTCAGAATCATGATGGCATCACAATCACATTTTACTTCAGGTCTGCTTAAGAAAGGAGATTGGAAACAACCTGATGGAGGGAAAAATGAATGATTTATGGAAGAATAAACAGATTTTGGTCCCTTCCTGTTGCTTCTGGATCTCTCTCTTAACTCTATTTTGAACCAAATTCATTTATTCTGGGGTTGTTGGTTTTTTGTTTTTTTTTTGGTCCCTATTTATCTTAGTCTTCTTATTGTATGGAAAGTCTGCTCACTGCTCTATAGATAAGAGTTTGTATGAATACATTTCAAGTTTATGGACATTGAAAGCAATTAGCAAGTTTGTGGCACAAAATAATCATCCAACATGGAATAGTTTCATCTCTCTTCTCCTATATACTTAGTATATCTTTTTCAAAAACTAATATTTTATGAAATAGTCAATACTATTAAGTAGTTCTCTCAACTTAGTTTATTTTAGTATCAGTGACCTACTTAGCAGAAAGCAATAAGCAAACAAAAGCAATATACAGTTGGAAATGTAGAAATAGTCTTAGGTGACTTAGAGCCATTAGCATTGTGGTCAGAAAGCTATTTTGTGCAGACAGGAAAAGCAAAATACATGCAAAGTAAAATCCCAAAAGCAACTATGTTAAAGATTAGGAGAGAAATAGTACAAAACATTTTCTTTCATCAAGGTCATATCTACCTAATGATAAATGAGATTTACATGGTAGTAATATATTGCTGCAAAAATTAAAAGCACTTATACTGGTTGAATATAGAGAAATAGAACAAAAATTGCTTGTGTTTGGTATATATTATATCTTTCCAAAATGGTACCTTTGTCCAAATATGTACATATTAAATGTTTCTCTTGTTTAATTTGTTTCATTTTCAAAAATATGAGATTATATTTAAAGCATTTTGACTTAGTTGTTCCCATGGAAAAATATGCCATGGACATCCTTCCTTATAGGTATATATTAGATAAATGTTTAATTTGTTACTTTTAATAGTTTATAGTTTTCTATAAAATGAATTCAGTGCATCTGCCACCATTTTTCCATACAGATGGTTCCTGTTCTACAATGGTTCAAGTTATGATTTCAAATAACAAATTTACTTATTATTTTGTGAAAGTGATATGCATTCAGTAGAAAGTGTACTTCAAATTTTGGATTTCGATCTTTTTCTGGGTTAGTGATATGCAATAAAGTAGTCTCTTATGATGCTGAGCAATGGGAATAAGCTGCATCTACTAATCAGCCACGTGATCACGAGGGTAAACAACTGATATACTTAGAATCATCCTGCACCCACACAGCCATTCTGTTTTTCACACAGCATTCAATAAAGTACATGAGGTATTCATATTGCATTAGATGATTTTACCCAACTGTAGGCTCGTTCTCAGCATGGTAGTGTAAGCTAGGCCAAATTATGATGTTCAGTAAGTTAGATGTATTAAATACATTTTCTTATTACAATATTTTCAACTTATGATGAGTTTATCAGAACATAACCCAATCGTTAGGTTGAGGAAGGTCTGACTGAAGATACAGATCTTCAATGTATCAACATTGTACCAGAATTTTTTATATTAATTGCATTCATTCCTATATCTCTCAATTATTGATGCTTTCATATCTGTAGAGAAATTTCACTGAAGAAAATGCTGGTTCAAAAAGCACATATATTTTAAATTTTAATAAATACTGTCAGATTAGTTCTCAAATTTCTATAATTTATACTACCACCAACAATGTGTAAAAATATTTGTTCTTCTATACCTTTCAAGTGCAACGGTGACAAATGATATTTCATTACTGGTTTAAATTTGCATTTTCCTGACTTTTGGTAATACTAGACATCTTACAATATGTTTATTGCCCTTTTACATTTTCTATTCTGTAAGTTATTTGTTCATAACCTTTACTACTTTTCAAATAAGCTGTTTTACTTATTAATTTATAGGAGCTGTTTCCATTAATTAAAAATTGTTCTTTGTATTTATCTGTCATATACACTAGCAATATTTTTCCCAGTGGTCTGTCCTTTGTATTTCAATACTACTTATGGTGTTTTTTACTAAATGCATACTTTTACTTTAGTCAGTTCTTTGATCTTTTTAGTTATATGCCCTAATTATCTGGAAAGATAATCTAGGATTTATTTATTTACAATTTATTATATTTATATAAAAAACTAGAGAGAAAAAGAGGTATTATCCCTTTGCTGTCTTAAGTTGGTGTCTAAATGTTTGCATTTTCTCACTTTCTATGTTGTAAATTTGTTACACTACCAAAAGATGAACTTGCCTAGTGCCCAGAAATCAACCTCTCATTTAGATTTTGTTGTGGACCAACATGGGGCGGGGGGGGATGTTATGTGCTATTAGAAAAGACACAATCTTAGTGGACCGAGAGAGATTCTCCGGCTGGCACTGAAGAAGAAAGATCAGTGTTGATGCTGTCAGAGGGCTACCTGGCTAGGATCTTAAAGGAAACTCTGGGAGCTGAGGGTGACCCCAACTGATGACTAGAAAATAGGAACCCTGACTCTACAGCTGCAGGAAACTGATTTCTGCCAACAAACTGGATGACTTGGAAGAGTACCTCCAATCCATATAACACAGCCCAACTAACGTCTGGATTTCAGCCTGGTGAGACCCTGAACAAAGGATTCATTGGAACTGAGATAAGAAATTTGTGTTCTTTTAAATTGCTAAATTTGTGATATTATAGTATAGTACTATACTGTAGTATAGTATATGATACTATCTGTTATATAGTAATAGAAACTAATACAAAGATTGTCACTTTTAAGACTTTAGGAAAAGAGGGCTCCTGGATGGCTCAGTCAGTTAAGTGTCCGAATTTGGCTCAGGTCATGATCTCAGAGTTTGTAGGTTTGAGCTCTGCGACTGGCTTGGTGCTGAAGGCTGGGAGCCTGGAGCCTGTTTCAGATTTTGTATCTCCCTCTCTCTCAGCCCCTCTCTTGCTTGTGCTCTCTCTCTCTCTCTCTCAAAAATTAATGAACATTAAAAACAAAAAGAAAGACTCTAGGAAAAGAAGAATCCCTTCTCTCCAGTCACTCTGAATAGAGTTTCCAAGTAGATTAATTTTGAGTTAGAGAAAATAAAGAAATTCAGCATTTCTTGAATCCCAGCATTCAGAAAAATATCTATTCCTACTATACTAAAGATATTAAGATATTCATATTATGTTTTTCTTGCTATTTTATAGGTTTAGAATAAAATAATTTAAAATAAATGATTAAATAATTTATTAAATGAATAGTTTAGAATAATAATTAAGTGCACAGTATCTGCTCTGGTTCAAAATTCTTGCTCCATAGTTACCAGGAAATATTTGGATTCTCTGTACTTTAGTTCCCTTATCTGTAAAATAAAGATAGTTGGAACATTAATTGGCTAGATTACAGCAATGCCTTATAACAGTGCTTGGAAAATTGTGAACTCAATAATTATTAGCTCTAGTTGTTCTATTACTATTGTTATTATCTTACGATATTTAATCTATGTTGCTTTTATTTTTTGAATACTGTGCAAAGTAGGGATAAAATTTATTTTCTTGCAGATGAATCATCTGCTGGCCCATTTAATTTACCTGTATAATCTATTCCTTCCTTTTACTGTCATGTTACCTCCCTCATTTATATCTTAATTGGACCTATTTCTAGATTCTGTTCCACATACTTATTTGCCTCTCTCTCTCTACTGATACTATACTATGTTTTATTATGGTGACTTATAATGACTTTCAATGTCAACTATGGCAAGTTGTTATTCCACTTTTTCAAGATTTTTTTGTTTGCATTTAATTTCCACATGAACTTTGGAGACATTTAATAAAAATTTTAAATGTGATTCTAATTAATATATCATTAATTCTTTGTATTTCCATTTGGCATTTTAATGACTTTAAGTTTTTATTTCCTGGAGTTTGGTTTATCTACCATTTGTTGAGAACATTTTAAAAAATTATTTAAATTAAAGGACGTCTATGTGGGAATCTATAACCTCTGTATTCTCAGTATCTATGGTTCTGATAAATTTGACTTCATCCCTGGCCACCGTGCCTGGCTAGTGAATACCCAAATCAGGTCAATCAAATTCACTGAACTTCAAAACTGAGAATGTGCGCTGTTAGAGCTGATAGTTGAACATTGTTATTCTGTGGAATCTGATTTGACAGTCAAGTTCAGAAAACCAAATAATATATTTTTTTAATATTACACAAGTTTTATTTGCACAACCATATGAGCTATTTCTGTGAAAGAGGGAAGATATTTCTGTGAAGATATTTCAGTCCTAAAAAGGGAATACAGTGCCTTGTCTCTCATGCCTGTTACTGAAATGTAATCAAATACAATCACAAATCAAACTTACAAACTGCTGACTAATTTGTTGCTCCTATTTTAATTGTTATGATCATCAGGGGTAAAAAGTATTTTCCTAAGACACACAGCTGCAAAGGGCAGGCCCAGTGTTGGGTGCCACTCTCAGTGGTCTTGCACCAATATGGAAAGGGTTCCCATTCCTTCCCATCCCCCAGAGCTGCAGCAAATCCTACTCTTGTCTTCTTTGGACCAAAGAAGCCAAAGATTTAAGTCTTTGGTTCATAAATGGCTAGATCTGCAAGTGCTTTCTGTTGTGCTCCACCTGGCACTTAATTAAATTGACAATGAATTCTGGGTATTTTGGACTATGTTCCTGGGAGGCAGTAGTAATTTGATTAGTCCACAGTATCTTAGATGATGTCTGCAATGAAGAATAGGTTGGTAAAATGGCTGGAGGCTCTACAATTGCTGTTTGTTTGCTTTCAAGTGCTAATGTAATGAGGTATCCTTTATTCCCTTCATCTTACCTCCAAAAGCCAGTTTTAGTTCTTCTCCAGACATCCCGGTAGGTCCACAGGGTTCTACCTCCTTTTGAGGTTGTTGACTCTCTTGGATATTAGAGGGATAGGGTTCACATCTGGTTATAAAAATAAGACACAGCAGAATCTAAGCATGGCATAGACAGGTTCATTTCCAACGGACAGGTAATAAACAAGTTAATGGATGCAGTCGGAGGGGGGGCTTCTTCGGATATTGATGGAGAGTCAACTGACAGAGATTTGGGAAGCAGGTGGTGGGAAATTCTCAAGTCAAGTGAGGACTGGCACATTAGTGAAAGATGTCTCAGCTCCTAGGGCTAATAGTCATGTGAACCATTTTCTCAGAAAGTGTCCTAGATTTACTCACCTGGCAGCTGATCTTATCCTTTCTTAGGTAACTTCTATATAAATAGCAAAGCCCCCCAGTTGGTAAATACTACCATTAATGTAGTTCACTTCTTTTTCTTCTCCCCTGTACTCAGATTTCCTCTCTTGTATTTATTTCACTGTCTCACTAAATACCTGTTCTTTTTATTCCCTCAAAAAACAAAACATTATTGTTTTGTTTTTCATAGACTTCAATAGATTATTAAAGCAATGTTCTTAAATCATTAATGAGTAAAAACAAAAAGTATAATTTCCCTTTGCTTTTAAAAATGTTTATATATTTATTATTTTTGAGAGAGAGAGGGAGCACAAAGAGGGAAGGGGCAGAAAGACAGAGAGAGACAGAATCTGAAGCAGGCTCCAGGTTCCAAGCTGTCAGTAGAGCCCAAAGCAGAGCTTATACTCATGAACCGTGAGATCATGACCTGAACTCACCAACTGTAAGATCAGATGCTTAACTGACAGAGCCACTCAAGCAACCCTAATTTCCCTTTTCTTGAAGACAGAAAGAAATAATGTCCTTAGCCTGTTAAGAGGTAGAAAAAAACTGTCATCTTTTTAGTGCAAAAGTGAAGGAGAATAAAAGTAGTGTTGTTTACTTTCCAGGAAAAAAAAAAACAAACCTCTAAATATTCTTAGTTGGCAGTACTAGCAATAATCAACTAGGAACAGAAATGACAAAAGAAACTTGTTTTGGTAAAATTTATAACAATTCTCAAAATGACATTTAGTAAAAAAAGGTGCAAGATCTAAATAAACAGATGTATATGCATTTTAAATCCACTTTCTAAAGACAGAATCTCATATTCTTAGAGACAAAACTGTTTAGAGGCTATTTAGCTCTTATTATTTATTATAAGTTTGGTAAAGCAGGTAAAACATAAGATATGGAATATAAACAAATGTCTGCAGATTGTACAAAATTAATCAGAATTGAGGACATACTGCTACTATCTTAAAATCCCCTATTAGCTATGGCTTTCTATCTGCTTTGCTACCACATTGACTTATCTGTGGTGATATCCATCCCATTTTTCTTCCTATGCGCTGGAATTTCTTTATAGAACTGCTGCTGCTGAATATTTCAACTAGGAATAAATATCTTTGCTGTTCAGCCTATTGCTTTGGTCTAATTTCACTTCTCTGGGCAAAGGAGGTCTTTTACTTTCACTATCTATTTGGCACCTGGCTACAACATGTATTTCTGAATTTCAGTCTTAGCTAGAACCATAAAAACTTTTCACTTTTTAAAAAATCTACCCACTTCTACCAAAAGCAGATAAGGAGAGTCTTAGTTTCATGGTTTTTCATTCTGTACTCGTGTGTGTGTGTGTGTGTGTGTGTGTGTGTGTGTGCACAGCATGCATGTATTCATGTGTGTTTGTTTAATCTTTCTGGTATGTGTTTGAGGAAAATGAAGTCTACTATCCATATAAAATTACCTGAGGGTAATCTTGATTATTTGAAGAATGGAATGAGATCTTTTGTATATTTATATTCCATTTATATTTATGATAGCTAACAAATCTGTCTGTCATCTGAATTTCTCTAGGGCTGGGGTCTTTTAGTGTTTATTTTCCTATCGTAACTCATATGCCCAGAACAGTGCCTGCTGAATAGTAGTTGATCTAAGAATATATAAAAATTTATGATGAATGAACAAATGATACCTGACTCTACAGGCAGACTTCCAAATTTAAACACAGGCCAAAATAATTGCTACCATTAATGAGTTTATGTCATGTTGCAGCTTCAATGAATTACATATATCTTCTCTGTTTTTTTTTTTATATTCACAAATCCTTTGGAAGTTATTTCCCAATTTCATAAATGGAAAAAAATTTTCTAACTTTTTCATGGTCAAACAGTAAAGAAAAAAATACTGAATTAAAAATCTACTTTTTTCCAAACTATGTTTTCCTGCACCAAAGGCCATACTGCCTATTAAAAAATAATTGCCATTTCCTAACTAACATTTACTAATGCTAATTGCTTACTATAAAGCAGATTATTTAATTCTTACAACAACACATTTAAAATAGTCAGTCATCAAGTAGAAAAGATATCTTGTCTTCTTTTTGCAACCTCATGGAAGGTTCCTACCTGCCGTTGAAGGGACAGCTTAGTCAATTGATGAGTCTGGGAGGCGGAAGTTCTTATATTTCTTAGTCTATTGGGACTGCCATAATGGAATATCACAAACTAGTTAGCTTATTTACAACAAAAACTTATTTCTCACAGTCCTGGCAGCTGTAAAGATCAAGATCAAGGAGCTGGCCGTTTCTTGTGTCCGGTGGGAGACTGCTTCCTAGTTCATAGATAGCCCTATTTTCACCATAACCTTATGTTAGAAGCGGCAAAGAAACTCTCTGGAGTCTTTTTTATAAGGGCACAGGTACCACTCACGAGGGTTTTGCCCTCATAATATAATCACCTCCCAAAAGCCCCACCTCCTAATATCACCACATTGACATTCAGTTTGAAACTATGAAGTTTGGGGGAGGACAAATATTTGGTTTACATCACAGAGTGTTTGAGGGTTTCTGGATCCTCATTTTTTGGAGTGGCTTCTTCTCTGAATATGTGTTCTCTTTTCCAAAATAGGGCTTCTGGACTGTACTAATGCAGGAATTTGCAATTCAGGCTATACTTACGACTCAGGGAACAATCTGGACACTATTCAGCAATAAAGTGTTAAGAGCTCTCCTTGTGTCTAGATAGAAATTTGTCTAAGACAAATTTTCCGATTCAGCTTTTACCAATAGTATAACATACTTTGATCTCCATCTGTGTGATACTTGTGACTGTCAATTCAGAAGTTGAAGGAGAAACAGCGAGCTCCTTAAACTTCCGAAAATTACCCCTCTTTCTTTAACCAGGCAATTCTAAACTCAAAAGGTCTTCCACAATTCTTTGAATATTGTAGATCTTAGTTACATAAAGATGAAAAGGATAATGTTTGTGGAAAAACTTGATAAACAATAGTGGCTATAAAATATTTAATTATTTTTCATTGGGTTGTAGTGAAGCATGGCACTTAAAGCTAATGACATGTAGCTTTTATTGGTCTAATGCCTAAAAAGAGAATTAGATATAAGATTAAATAAAAGAAAAATAAATGTTGGACTATGTTAAAACCTGCTGGAGAAAGGACAGGCCCTGTCATAGACCATAATACTTATAATAATATTATTTTATCAATAAAATTGTGATATTAATAAATAATTTTATTATAATTTTAAAGGACTTAGCTTTGAGCTAGAGCAATTAACTGGCCCTCAAGTTTGGATTGGTGCTTGCCCCAGGTGGAAGAATAAAGCCCTGCTTTCCTAAATAAGAGTATGTATATATTGTACCTATTGCAGGTCCAACACATTACCTAGATCTCAGTAAAAGTACGCTCTCTTTCCCTCTTCAATTCAAAGATTAAAATCCCCATATTCCATTTGCTTTTACTTTTCTTAAGATATAACACTTTCAGGGGCTCCTGGGTGGCTCAGTCAGTTAAGCGTCAACTTCGGCTCAGGTCATGATCTCGCGGTTTGTGGGTTCGAGCCCCCGTTGGGCTTTGTGCTGACAGCTAGCTCAAAACCTGGAGCCTGTTTCAGATTCTGTATCTCCCTCTCTCTCTGATCATCCCCTGCTCACGCTGTCTCTCTCTCTCTCTGTCAGATAAATAAAACATTTAAAAAATTTTAAAAAGATAATAACACTTTCCGTATGGTCAAAGACAGTGCATTAGATGAGTAGTTTTTAGAGAAAGAAAGGTTTTTATCTTTAATGATAAAAATTATCTATTTTAATATTGATAATGTCTCAGATAGAAAATTCTGCAGTGTTGGTTGTGATCTCTCCTTTTTAATTTGTGATTTTATTTATTTGGGTCCTTTCTTTTTTCTTTCTGATCAATCTGGCTAGGGGTTTATGCATTTTGTCAATTCTTTCAAAGAACCAGCTTCTGATTTCATTGATCTGTTCTATTGTTTTGTGTTTTTTTTTTTATTTTGATAGCATTGATTTCTGTTCTAATCTTTATTATTTCCCTTCTTCTGCTCTTTTTGGGTTTTATTTGCTATTCTTTTTCCAGCTCTTTTAGGTGTAAGGTTAGGTTATATATTTGAGACCTTTCTTCCTTCCTTAGGAAGGGCTGGATTGCTATATACTTCCCTATTATGACCACCTTTATTGCATCCCAGGGGTTTGGGGTTGTGTTTTCAGTTTCATTGGCTCCCATGTACTTTTTAATTTCCTCTTTCATTTCTTGATTAACCCATTCATTCTTTAGTAGGATGCTTTTTGATCTTGAAGTATTCATGGTCTTTCCAAATTTTTTCTTGTGGTTGATTTCTAGTTTCACAGTGTTGTGGTCTAAAAATATGCAAGGTATGACCTCGATCTTTTTGTACTTGTTTAGGGCTGATTTGTGACCCAGTATGTGATATTCTGGAGAATGTTCCATGTTTACTTTAGAAGAATGGGTATTCTGCTGCTCTAGAATGAAATATTCTGAATACATCTGTTGAGTCCATCTGGTCCAGTGTGTCATTCAGAGCCATTGTTTCCTTGTTGATTTTCTGCTTAGATAATCTACCCATTGCTATAAGTGGAGGACTGAAGTTACCTACTATTATGGTATTATAATCAAGAATTTCTTTTTGTTTGTGATTAATTGATTTATATATTTGTATGCTTCCAGTTG